AGATATCAATATTAATTTGGGGGTGTGACAGAGAGTGGTATCAGAGCGAGGTTATAATTCTGTAGACTGTCCATGTACATGATTTCGGAATATGAAAGAGCACAGCTATGCCAGTAAGTTTTATTTGTTGCATTATTTTTGCATATATCATGAATGATATTGGCCAACCTTTAGTTGTTGCCATGGTGAGAACCAGAGATGCTAGTAGTAGTAGAGCTAGAACTCCAGGGCAAGAGGCATCTGTTCAAGATGACAGTCGGGATGTTGTTATTAATAGACTAACGAAATTACTTGAGCACCAATCTCAACAAATTTAGCAATTAATACAAGAAAGAGAAAAGGGAGAACAACAAAGAGCGAAATTCTTACAACCACAACAAAGGGCTGAACACATTAAGGCAGTTGGGGAAAGATTTAGAAAACTAAACCCTCCAATATTTGAGGATGCATTAGACCCAACAGCTACAGAGGATTAGTTGAGAACTTTGGAGAATATGTTCAGGTATAAGAGAGTTTCAGAAGTAGAAAAAGTAGTTTGTGCATCCTTTATACTACGAGGTAGTGCTGGACACTGGTGGGATACGATGAGTAGTATTGAAGATGTAAATACCTTGACTTGGGATAGATTTAAAGAGTTATTCTGTAATAAATATTTTATAGCCCCAGTTCGAACCATGAAGATGAATGAATTTATACAGCTAAGACAAAGAAGGATGACAGTGGGAGAGTATATTCGTAAATTTGAACAACTATCCACGTTTGCTACCCACATGATTAATACTAAGGCACTAAAGGTAGAAAGATTTCTTGAGGGGCTAAGACCAAAACTATATAGAGATGTAAGCATGGCAAGAATCCAAGATGTTTCATATTCTCAAAATTGCGGAGAGAGCCTTAGTTTCAGAACAAGCCAAACAAAGGATTAGTTGTGCTCAAGAGGCTCGTCGACAGTTTAGGCAAGGTCAAGGACAGCATTGGCCTAGAAAAAAAAGGCATGTGTGATTCTTAAAGAAAATCGAGAGCTCTATTCAGATTTAATTGTGTTAGAAATGAAAGATCATGATTTTATTTTGGGTATGGATTGGTTATCAAAATATCAAGCTACTATAGACTGTAAGAAAAAGTCAGTAACCTTTCAACTTTTGGGGAATAAACCATTTACATGCAATGGAATCGAAAAAGGTTTTAGAGCTCCAATCATATCAGTATTGAAAGCACAACGGTTACTAGATAGTGGGTGTGTAGGGTATTTGGTGAGTATTATGGCTATGGAAGAACAACACAATCCGAATCTTAGTGATGTACCTGTGGCATAAGAATTTCCAGAGGTATTTCTTGATGATTTACCTAGGGTACCACCAGATCGGGAGATAGAGTTGGCAATTGATTTAATCCCAGGAACATTTCCAATTTCCAAGACTCCTTATAGAATGGCCCCAACTGAATTGAAAGAGTTGAAGTTACAATTACAAGAGTTGTTGGATAAAGGTTTTATTAGGCCTAGCTTTTCACCATGGGGTGCACCAGTATTGTTTGTTTGTAAAAAGGATGGTACTATGAGATTGTGTATCGATTATCAAGAGTTGAATAAGGTGACAATTAAAAATAAATACCCATTACCGAGGATTGATGATTTGTTTGATCAACTTCAGGGTGCATCTGTATTTTCGAAGATTGATTTGCGATCTGGATAC